CATGTGTATAGGAGGGAGTGGGGAGGGTGTCAATGAATAGTATCTAGTAAACACAATTATATTATAGTAAGTTTAATATCTGCCTGCCTCGTTTGCCGAGTGGTCGCAAGTGCAACTGCCGGGCAAGGTGTTTTGGGTTCGATTCCCGGGTCGGGCAAATTATTACTAGGTTTTTTAAAAATTCTCAGTAGTAGCACGGAGTCTGTAATTGTGCCCGGTATATGGCAATAGGCTCACCTGCTATTACATGGGGCTCATAATATAAGTAGTGAAAAGTGGGTATTACATTGTACAGTAGTATAATGTGCACCTCTGCCTACCCTTCGGGGATAAAAGGCGTGATGTTATGTTTAATATCGAGAAAGTTATGCCTTTTTATGGTATACGACGGCAAACGAGCAGTCGGAGCACCTGATGGTAAGCAATCGGCGTCGCATACAGACACCCATAACACTATAGAAGTTATTAGAGCGTTGCCGGCCTTTTGGAGGTTCAAGATTTCACGTGGAAGGGGAATCATGGCTCTCTTAAGTGAAACCATCAAACTATGACCTTCTACGGAGATATACCGAGAGAGAACCTATCTTCCGGCAACCCACTTGTGTTGCGGGGTGTCAATGGACGGCGCTCGTCCAATCCTAGTGATCTGTGAACTCGATTGCAATAAAATTTCGGTGATTTGAGCACCTTTCGAGAAATTATGCGCAGAATATTAATACATGTATAAAATATCAAAACAATTTACGTTTGTGGTTGACAGAGGGACTATTGTTTGTAATATTTTCCTGCGCAGGTTTTTCCGGTGGCTGTGTAGAAAGTATTTATCCTCAAACATTTATATGAATCGGGGTAATCCGGTCTATTGATCGGTCATTTGTAAGCTGTTCTAGGAATTTTAGAACAACGGAAGTGGCTTCCGTAAGTGTCAACTTTAATTACCCTGATCGGTTTTCTAGCACAGAGTGCACAATATTTTTCACCCTATATTATAAACTAGCTACTTCTGCGCGGTTTCACACGCTCTGCTCAGCTCCTGTTGGTAGTAGCGTTATGATTTATAACCTATAGCCATCTTCGATGAATGCGCTATCCAACACAAAAAGCATTATTTAAATCAGACTTGTAGTTACGGAGATTAGCGCGTTCAAACAAACAAACAAAAAAACAAACCTTCCGCTTTATATGCCTCTACTAGTATAAGATAAGATATGGGACTCATTGCACATCTGACAAAAATTGGTGTTTTATTTTATTAGCTCGTTTACCCGTCATTTCGATGAATGAAAGGCCTGAACTTATCTGTATAATTCCATGACGAGAGCAATAATGGCGTCTTTGTGTTGTGTTATGCAATTTAGAGATGATTACACTGCACGTGTATCTGTTTGCAACTGTTTTTATGTAGTTTTTCAGTTGAGGAAAACGTACCTAGCTATTTATTAACTGAATAAGTTAGTTGAAGGGTAAACCTAGCTACGCACATACTGATAGTCGTAATCATCACTTTCATGATCAACACGTTTCCATGTACTGCTGGGCATAAGTCTGCAACGGCACAACCCTGAGCTCGATCTTCAGCACTTCGTATCCCACTACTGGCAGCCACACAGCGGATATTGTCACTCCACCTAGCTGGAGGGCGCGCTACATTACTCCAAGTTGGAAATGGCTGAATCAACTCATTGTCATCATTAAGTACATTAACATCAACAGGTTTGTTATAGTCCACTGCTAGATACCGGGTCTCCAATACCTAAGAGGGTCTGCTATAATCTCTACGCAGTCGACCGTTGATAGGAGAATTGAAGATCGCTTTAGAGAGCTACTGCTCGGTCTCTGACAAAGGTATAGTACCTTAGTCGGTTCCACACACACGAGAAGATTAAGGATGTTGACAAACGTATTGTACTCTGCCTGCCCTCGCCACACGACTTATAATTATAAGTAATATACACAACACTAATTTCAGTCCACCTAAATCGCAATTAAAATACCGTGGTGGCTCGGACGTTTAAGACGCCCGCTTCTCATTCATGAGAGTCGCGGGTTCAAAATCCAAACCTACCAACGGCATGTACCAATGTGACTTTTTCCGAGTTATATGGTACTTTCTAAGATTCTAGATACCATTGACAAACGGCGAAGGAAAACATCGTGAGGAAATCTGAACTTAAAATTTCTAATTATAACTTTGAAATCGCCAACCTGCATTGAGTAAGCTTGGTGATGAATGCTCAAACCTCCGTGTGAGGAGAAGCTTTTGGTCAGGAGTGACCCTTTATAGGTTGTTGGGGTTATGAATATCGAAACCATGTATCTAACTCTAACCACAAAGTGTGAGAGAGCCATGCTTCGGCACGAATGGACCGGCTCGACCGGAGTGGTACCACGGCCGAGCAGAAAAACGACGTGAAGCAACGCTTGCGTTGTCTTCGTCGTGTGAGTGAGGTTACCGGAGGCCCAATTACCCTTCCCTTCCCCAATATCCCCAATTCCTGAATCTCCAAAAGGCCGGTAACGCACTTGTAACGCCTCTGGTGTGACGCCGATTGCTTACCATCAGGTGATCCGTCTGCTCCATTACCGGCTTATGCCATAAAAAAAATCTTACAGTTAATATTTTATTGACTTATCAAAGTATGTTAACAAAATGTCTGCCGATGTACCAGCACAATAACTCACAATATAGACACAGGTGTGTCCATTGTTTGTGCAGACTTCCTTTGTGCTGGTGTTAAGACACAGACCACGTGCACAGACTTCCAGAATTGGAACAATTATATATTAATGTCTGTTGCCCATACAAATAGGCGATGTAATTGACCCTATTACTGAAAAGGTATCAGTAGAGAGGTTCGACACTTGTATTAGACAAAATGTTATAATATGTAACGTATTATAAATGTTATATAATTTATTACTGACTGCCTCATTCGAGTCTCGGGTTCGATTCCTGGGTCGAGCAAAGTACTACTGGGTTTTTAAAATAAAATCTCAGTAGTAGCACGGAGTCTGGAATTGTGTCCGGTATATCACAATAGGCTCACCCCCATTACATGGGACTCATAATGAAAAGTGGGTGTTATATTGTACAGTGGCATAATGTACACCTCTGCCAACTCCTTCGGGGACAAAAGCTGTGATGTTATGTTATCATACATATACCTATGTACAATGTTAATCTGATAGCCTGAAATAAGCAGCTCAATTTGAGGACATCATGACATCACGGTGTCAGGTGTTAATTCGCATGCAAACACGAATTGAACCGACACCCGACCTTAAGTGACATTGACAATGACTCATTGCACACTAATAGTTTTTTGCGAAGTTAATATTGCTTTTTTTGCATTCTTGTGACATGTTTGGACATTATTTCACGTCTTTTATAAGGAATATGCCTATTGCCATATAGGAAAACCTGAAAAATCCAAATTAATATTTCTGTTCGACTGCGAACCCGAGACCTTTTGTTCGCTTATGCTATTCGACTATTGAGCATAATGTATGTTTAAGTTAGTTTCTAAGGAAGGATATTTATAGCCCCGTTTTAATCCTAAATCGTCTCCTAACTAAGAGTAACTTAGTATGATCGAAACTTAAGTAAGGTGTCACTTAAGAGTTGGTGCAATTCAAAATGTTGTTAAGTGGTTCCTTCAACTGTAAATTAAATAATTGTCTAATGTCATTTCAGTCTTCACGATATAAAATGTTTGTTCTGAATTTACTGAAATTTTAATCCATATTATAACTTTGTACGTAGTTACAATGAGAAAATATATATATTAATATTATTTATTTATTTATACTTTATCTACCATTTATTTATAATGGCGGGGCGTTCCCTCCCAGCCAACCGCGTCTGACACTGCCTCTCGCCTTACCCGGGCGATAGAAGTCATTGCATGATTTCCCCTCCTCAAAACAAGGGTGCTGCAGAGAAGTGTAACAATAAGTTTTATATAACTATGTAATATTACTGTCTGAACACAATAAATCCCAACATCATACACCTCTACCTACCTACTTAAATGCAATGAAGCGTGCTGTAACCAACAAGTATACAAACAGCAAAAAACAAGACAAAACTCACTATAACTACCATAAACAATGTGACAATACCTTTGTCTGTATGTCTATCATATATTCACACACAACACAATTTTTGTTAACCATACAATTGCTATTGTAACAGCCTTATAGCCTGGCAATAAGAGCTATTTTAAAATTACGTTACGAGGGAACTACTGCTAGATACTACAGTCTATAGACTAGTTTCCAAGGTAATCCATTGTGATGGCTAAATGTATAACAAGCTACGACTAGGAAGTTTTTATTCAATTCAGTTTTATGCTTCAAATTGACTATTTACCGTGTCGATCCTGACCGAGTTGTAGTCGAAAATATAACGTCTTCTAATCTGAACTACGAACTGTAAGGATAGTTAAATTACGTTTTGTTTTGTCTTATTCTATTGTTTATCTTATTCATCCATTGATTGCTAAAGGATATGACACATCGCCGTAAGTATATCTGATTAATTTTCCTCTAGTTCATTATAAGAATGTAGGAAGAATTAAAGTTACCTACATATATTTGTGTCTGCAACAATATTTTAAGTTTAAACCACGGGAAAATGTCCACGGTGTGTAGGCTGGAATAATTATGTGCAGTGATAACTAATTAATTAGCTTCAATTAATTAATTGCACTATATTCCTGTAACGCATTCACGCGTACCTGTTATACTGATTGCACAAATTAATACAGTACTAGTTATCCTTAATGTAACTGCTACAATTACATTAAAGGAGTAACAATACAGGAGTCTCATAGATACTTGTTACTTGTATTACGTTAAAACTCATCAAAAACATGTTTTTCAAAACATAAACGTCAAACCGCACAGTACCACCGTCATCCACAATCCATGGCGAGTATGAATCACTAGTTTATACCGAGAAGCCTTGATCTGCGGCGACGTTATAAAACGAGCGGGGCAGCTGTATGCCGCCATTTAATTGTGACTGTCCGACCGCACCGCACGTGTCGCGAGCTAACACAACCGAAACATTAAACAAACAATCAACATGAGTACTACCAGCGCATCCTCCGTCCTCCTGTTCATCCTGAACATCCTGCACGTGGTGTTCGGGCTCGGGGTCACCTGTGCTGCCATCTGGTTCTTCGTTGAGGTGCACAGCATCACCAGTCTGCGCAACACCAACCACTACCTGCTCGACTACAATGTGTACTGGCCGCAAGCCATCCCCTGGGTGTTCATCTTCGTCGGAGTGTTCGTGGTGTGTGTGTCGTGCTGTGGCTTCGTCGGTGCTAGGAAGAAGAGCAGTGGCCTTGTAGTGATGTACATCGTGTTCGAGGTGACCGCCATCATTGCGCTGGTGACGGCCGCGGTGGTCGCGCTCACCTGCGCCGACAGCAGCTCCACCGACAAGTTCATCCAGGACACCGTCTGGGACGTGTTCACCACCATGAAGAACGACCGCAACGTTGAGGTAGACTTCGGTAACATGGAGAAACGCCTGCAGTGTTGTGGTGCGTCCAGCCCACGTGACTACATCAACTGGCGCCGCGACTTCCCCGTGTCGTGCTGTGACACATACTACCACGGTTGGATCGGCCAGTACAACATCGACTGCGACTTCACCAACAAGCTGGCCAACGAACGCCATGGCTGCACTGAGGTGGCCACCAACTACACTCGTATCATCATCCGCGTGCTGTCCGGCGCGTGCGCATTCACTGCGTTCCTCGGCCTCATGAACCTGATCGTGGCTGTCACGCTCTCCAAGAGCATGAAGAGCAGGCCGAAGCCGATGCCGGTGCAGCTCGAGTCTGAGAGTAAAAAGGGTTTGTTGTAAGTTAACATGTTTGTATAGACGTTGTGTGTGACAAGGTTCCCTCGGACCAGTGTTGAATATTGACTTAACTAGTTTTTCCTTTCACGTGAAGCGAGAAATCGTAGTTAAGTAACATGTAGGAATGTTACGTGTGTGCGAAGTGATAACGCAATACTAAACAGTTTGCGACAGTATTTCTTAGTGGAAGTATTTATTTTGTTAGGTTTAGTATAAGTATTGCGCATGTGCGGTATATTAGCTTTAACGATGTATCCACCGGTCGCTCGGTCGCTCGAGCTTAGAGCTTCTAGTCTTAGACGCGACTCGAAGATTGAATGCATTCAATTGAATCGTCCAGGCATGTGCAGTACGGACAAAGAGTTTGAATGAGTCAATTTAAGTAGCCTTAACTACGAGGTAATTGAATCGGTGGTTAGTCATATAATGGCGCTCTGTCCTCCGTCGCCTGAACTTTACGAATGATGACTGACCTTTGTATTTCTTAAGCAAGATGGACAATCAAGATAATTGTCTCTGATATATTTTACATATTTTGCTGTAAAATGTTGGTTGAAGTATATCAGTGGTGGATTTTAATTAGTGCTATTATGCAGTAGTGTTACGATAGTAGAATATATCGAGTGATAATGAATGTTAATTGACTTCACCGATCTGGTTTTGAATCTCAAAAAACAATACAATAACGTATTGTGACGTAGTTTATACAAATGGTGTTTTAATGTTCTACAACTAGTTTTACAAAGACCAGTTTTGTATTTTATATGATTATCCTTAGTATGGTTGTAGTGGCATTTAATAAATTAATACTTATATCGTGAATCCGTCTGTTATATAAACTTTAACCTTTGAGGTAACACTGTTATGTAGGACACTCATATTTTATGTATTTATTAGAAGTTATGAAATAGATATTTTAATATTATTTCACTTTAGCATTTTACATGGTCTTTAAAAACTGTAGCTTCATGGTTAAGTGACTGGATTTGTTGTCAATCATGAGGCATTGGGTTCGAATCCCAAGTCGAGCTTTGTCTTAACGTTTTTTCTTGAGGAAAAATTCAAAGTAGCAGCTCGATGGTTGACTGTAGACATAAATAAGGAAATAGTGACAATAATACAGTGTAAATGTGATGTGAATTTGTAATATTATAAGTGTATTTGTTTCGTTTATGTAATTTCGAACATTCCTGTAAATAGTACTAAGAAGTAAATTGTAAAGTTTTCAAATGATGTTACTGCCAGCCCCAAACCACAGTACCTCAGTTGCGTTATAGCAGCAAAAAGCAAAAACAACATTTGAAAACGAACAAATATGAACTTTAATAGCCTAACATTAAAGGCTTGATTTGTTACGCAAAATGTTCTTACGTAATATTTATTTTTCTGTATGTTTATCACATCATCGTGAATTATAGAAACTCTATAAGTATGTCGTGTACCTGTGGAGTTGAGAGTTGTGGTCCAAAGATTAGGCTGGTTACATACCGGCAGGCGGCGTCAAGCAACCGTCAGGCGAGCTTGACGTCAGCTCGATAGACATAAGTATTGATAGCATAGATTTAAAGTTCAAATTATGTTGTTATTTTATAAGAGCTTTGTGTATTTGCATTTTGATAATAAAATAGACTGGATGTTTTAAATAATGATTTGTTTCCTTAATGTTATTTACAAACACTTACCTGCATCAATTTTACACATGACACACCCAAAAATAAAAATAAAGCGAATGAAATAAATTACTAAATCTGGAGCAGTGCACAGTAATGCAATAATAAATGATCACTTATAAAGTCTTTTGTTGCCACACAAGTCATTAATAAACATTTATTAATGAATATAATTGAGTCATACGAACAGGAACAATTAATATACAATTACGATAATTGCTCATCACATAATAGTACACATTGCACTGCTAATCAGGTCAGATACTATATATTTTTTGGTTGCATCAGTTATGCTTGACAAGTGCGACTGATCGTTTGTGAGCGTAAGCTGCGCTAGCGCAAGGCAAGGTGCGGCCAAAGTTTATAAAAGTAGTTGCGTCAGGCGCACGCCTCTCATTCCGTTGTCAACCTCACGCGCGCGCGGACCTGCATCATGGGGAAAGACGAGCTTATCAAAAACGTTCTCTATGTTATGAACATTATCTACGCGGTGTTCGGACTCGTCACCGCGGCCACTGGCATCTGGTTCTTTGTGCAGCTGACTGAGTTCGTCGGCCTCAGGAACAGCAATCATTACCTACTGGACTACAGGATCTACTGGCCCCAGGTTGCACCATGGCTGTTCATCCTACTCGGAATATTCATTCTCATGATCTCCTTCTGTGGATGGTGCGGTGCCAACCGGGAGAGCCGAGGGATGCTCGGCCTGTTCGGGCTATTCCTCGTCCTCATCGTCGTGCTGCAGCTGATCGCCGCCACCCTCATCTTCGTGTACGTTGATGGAGAAGACACGGACCGGTTCATCAAGGATACAGTGTACGATGGATACTACAACTCACAGTCTAACCCCGATGTGTTCAAAGCTTTCGGAAAGATCGAGCGCAAGCTGCGGTGCTGCGGTGCTAACGACGCGCGTGACTACAGGAGCTGGAGGAACGACCTGCCCCTGACGTGCTGCCTCGACAGTTACTATCGTGCTACTTGTGAATTCACCGACAAAGAGGCGAACGAACGTCTCGGTTGTGCTAAAGTGGCTTCAGTGTACACCAAGATCATCAGCTCTTCAGTGGCGGGAGCCTCGCTGCTCATGTCACTGCTGGAGATATGTGGTATAGTGTTGGCGTGGAAGCTGTTCCACTCGCTGCGTGAGGTGGAGCATTACATCACGGAGCGCAAGGAGGGTGAAACGGAGTGCTAGGTGTTCAGTGCCACAGTATTATATCGATACCGCCGATCGATGCCGCTACGGTAGAGACTCGCAACGATCCGACGCCGACGGTCGCAGCCTGGAGTAACTTTCCCTTTCTAAGTTTTCTATCTTGCATGGTGTCTGTTTACTTCTGAATGAAGTTCGTTTCCTTGTCGAAAGGAAAGTCTGAAACCTTTGTTCTCTTAGATCTGATATAATTACATTCCACGGTTAGTGTTAATTCGCTTTAATTAAGCAATCTCATAGTGTAATCCGTGTAGTCTCGCTCCGCCACGCCTTAGGTCAAGCTGTGCATTAACGGCATTACGCGAGTGAGTGGGCCCCGAGCCTAATCATTCGCTTCCTCCTTAGCTCGATGAGTGTACCTGCTTGTGCAGTGCCTCAGTCGGACCTCATAATTGTACCTAAGACCTGGTGAATCTGTCGGCCTCGCCCCACCAAGTGTCTTCGACACACACGATTAACATAGTTAGGTATACATAGCTTGGTACGTAAGTTTCGTAAGTTATATTTCGCGTTAATAGGCGTCCATGGACGAGTGGAGATTGTGAAGCGATAGAAGGCCGTCTATGAGAAAAATGTGACCTCAGATTGGGCAGTGGGCTGTAGTGAGGAGTAGTTAGCGCGGTACAAGGTACTGCGTGTGTCACATTCGGGGATTGTGTAAGAGTGCGAGGTGTGGCATAATGGTGGTCGTGTTGTCGCTCGCGTTTCTAAGTTTATTCAGCTCGGTCCATCGAAATATGCAAATTTTTACGCAAGACCGTATTGTGAGTGTATAAAGTATGCTCAGCAGAACTTATGGTAATTTATTACGATGACGACATATTTGGGTTTCACAATATTAGTAGACGCGGCGTGTATCGCGCAGTAGGTGCAGTAGTTGTAGTAAGACATGTGCCAAGTGTTGGTGTTCATAGCTTGCGTTAATCACAATAATGGACAATTATATTTTTTGTATCGAGTTTTATGTTTATATTTATAGATTTTTTTGTAAGTTTTTTGGAGCGTACTTCCGTCCTTTATACCTATATAAATGAGCCATATTTAATATATTTTTAATAATTGTGTGTTTGTAACAGCGTGTGTACAATTGCCAAAGAAAGTGTAGGTACAAAACTTTCATTGAAAAAAAAGGAAAATATATTTTTTTGCATGTAAAAACCATTTATAAATGATAGTAGAGTAAGTCAGTAACCGAAACAATGATTACCGATATAATATATAGCTGATAGTTATAAGTTATTTTTATACAATACCTAATATAATGTCATTTAAGTCGAAACTAGTCTTAAGTCGTTTCGTTTTAAAATAAAAATTAAATGTTAAAATATGTCAGAAATGTATTTTTAATCGTTTCCTCGTTCTTATGCTAATTATTATCACAGAGTCACGTTTCGACAAACTAATTTATTTATCTGAGAACACATCTATTGACATTTACATTATATATATATATATATAAAGGTGACGAAATATATACATTTTGAAATTATGTTCGTGTTTAATTATAACCTTAATAATCTTAAGGAAGATGACAGAAGATAAAACAAAGAACCTCTTACACCGTAATCGGTTAAATTAGATAATTCCACCACTTACTACATAATTGGAATTTCCTCTTTTCATTATATAACTTAGAAAGTTATTGACTCACACACACACACATACATACATAAATCAACCGTAACAGTCACCATAAAATATACATACATACATAATATAAAGTAATTTCGTGACTACCAGACCGACAGACTGATTTAATTTAATTATTATGGAAATAAAATCAATTTGTTTAAGTAAAACTTTTTAGGACAAAAAATTCAAAAAACTCTTATCTGAATCTTTGCAAAAAAGTTTATATGTACATATAATAAATCTAACGAATATATTTGTTTGTTTACCATCACTGGAAGTACCAATTTCAATAGATTTTTGCATGTAAATGTCCTGTTTTCGAGCTTTGAGCTGAATCTATAAGAAATGGAACAGATGTTACTAAAAATAACCATTTTTTTAGACAATGACTTTACATGACATCTTAAACTGTCAAACACCAAGCGGTCACCGGTGACCGCAACCTATTGTTCTATAATTGTGTCTACAAAACCGGTACTCGACGAGTTAATACTTTAACAACACGCCTCATTTCTCCGAATTCCATGGCATTCAGGCAGGCGTGCACATTTTAATGTGACCTCATTACCGTCCATTACCTATTATAAAATATCACATAATAAAACTTTACCCGACCCAGGAATCGAACCCGAAACCAACCACTTTGAACCCACCTAACGAGCCATAAAATTTTCTAAACACGTGTAGCAAAAATAGATTTCTATTTTCCATAGTGAAAACTCGTTTATTGAATATACAAACATACATAGACACATACTATATTATATAATCACTGGTGGCCCTTTTTTGCCCAAACTAGTTGTGAGAAAAGTTTTAAAGTATTGGTGTTACGTCACTAGGTACGAGGTTACATCACTATGCCCACAGTAGGGCAGCGCCATCTTGGATTTAAGGTACTGTTTTCAAAAAGTGTGTCAGGAAAGTACATTATGGTGGGTACAGTTCGTTGATGACCCATTCATTCATCCGAATATACATTTTGGAATGAGCACCTAGCTTTATTGGATGATGGATGATTCTGTGGTGGTATTTAAAAAGTGACTGTTTATGGATGAAAGGAAATAGATGCTTTGAATTTGATTTTATCTGCCATTTTCTATACCTTTCCTTTATTTCGATAGATATAGTTATTTTTATTCATATTAACTAAAAATCGCGGGTTACTCACGAGAATTTACTATTAAAAGTCTACTAGTGGGTTGTGCGACATCGCTGCGCCCGCGTACGCTGCTCATGAGGAAGAGCCCCTCTTTGGCTCGAAACTAGTAGAACCTATCTCAGTATATTCACGTGAGTAACCCACGATTTTTAGTTAATTTATTATGTCTCGCGATGGTTATTCTATTCATATTATCTAGAGTTGGTAATTTTAATAGTTGATCATCTCGCTTCTAAAAAAAAACTTTGTCGTCAAAGACTTCTTGTCTAGGTATATAGGTATATAACATAGTACTTAACGGTATATTGCAGGAATTTTATGAATATATAGTTCAATTCTTCACCATAGACTTTTACCAAGAATATGGTATATGAAAAGCATGAAAAGGTTGATGACTGTTAATGAAGCGAAAGAGGTATGTAAGAATCGTAGTAATTGGCGTTCCTTAGTCTCTGCCTACCCCCATGGGAGACAGGCGTGAAGTTATGTATGTATGTATGTATGGTATATGAAATGGATTATAAAAGCTATAGAAGCTTTCTACGACAAATTAGAGGTACTTCGATCACTGAGTCACTATAAGCAACAGAATAGTTTAAAATAATAGGTAGATAGGTGATTTTTTTTAAGGGGGGAAAAACATCGAATGACTTCTACCGCCCGGCTGAGGCGAGAGACTGTCAGACTCTCACTGACTAAAAACCACCCCGTTCGAATGTACCATTTCCCTTCTTGATTCGTCTTCCCGTGTCTGATGACTCTGTAGGTAGGTATTGATCATCAACAGCCTATAAGTACCCACTGCTGACCAAAGCCTCACACTGAGAGATCCATCTCACACAGAGAAGGTTTGAGCATTAATCACCACGCTTGCGTAATGCGGGTTGGCGATTTCATCCTTCACCGTTTGTCAGTGGTGTCTAAATAATCTTAGAAAGGACATATAACTCGGAACAAGTTACATTGGTATTTGCCGTTAGTAGGTTTCGAACCCGTACCGTCATGTCATGCATGAGAAGCGGGCGTCTTAAACCTCCGGGCCACCACGACATCGGCAATAACAGGTAGGTATTGATCGTAGTATTTATTTGGTCCGCACTATATTTGAATTATATATGTGTATGGAAAGCACCACGACCATCAAAGAAGAGGAGAGGGTGAATAGCAAGAGGATGAAGGAGATAGAGGTCTGGATAATGGAAGTAAAAGAAGTATAATGAATGCTATCTGGAGATAGTAGATAGGACCTACTGGAGTAGGTTTTGATGAATAATAAGAAAATGACAAGTAACACATGAGATATAATATAGCGTGTTAATGGGTATATACCGCAATTTCTGGAGTTGACAAAAAAGTTCAAGAACTTATTTTTTATATTATGAACACTTGAAATAAGGCTTAATTCTCAGGTACCTCCTTTACAACGATAAAGAATCTTTGCACTTAACTGGAGAGTGCTTTGAGACTCTTAAGATCTCTCACAGCTGATTAGAAATCTTAAAAAAATATTGGAAACCCGAAACTTTAATTTTGGACGAAAAAGAAAATTTTGGAAATAAAAAAGAATCATCTCTTTGTATTAATTAGACACCACTTCCACTACATCTTTTATTTCTCAAGAGGGTAGGCTGTGTTAAAGAAAATATAATATCTTTCTTTCTTTCTTTCCGTTTCACTTCAACCCTATCCAGTAGAAGATTTTTCTTTTATTGTATAAACCGGTAAATGAGCAGATGGATCACCTGATGGTAAGCAATCGGCGTCACCTATGGACACCTGGAACACCAGAGGCATTGCAAGTGCGTTACCGGCCTTTTGGGATTAGGAATTTGAGTATTGTTGGGGATTCAGGGATTCGGTAACCTCACTCACACGACGAAACACAACGCAACGTTGTTTCACGTCGGTTTTCTGTTCGGCCGTGGTATCACTCCAGTCGAGTCGGCCCATTCGTGTTGAAGCATGGCTCTCTCACAGTTGCTGCCAGATACGCCCATTGGCGTATATAAGGCACTTCAGACAGCACATTAACTAGAAAAATTCGAAAAATCGAAGGCTCTATAACGAATACTTTTAATGACGGGAATTGAACCGGCGAATTTGAGTCATACTCGTAATCAGTCGACTAAGAAACTCTTTCTAAGAAAATTCGCGGAAATAATTTGATACGATGTCTCATAGACTATAGTCGATGAGTCATAAACTTTCCCGCGCATGCGTAAAGCTATTATGTAGTAAAATGTAACAGTATACTATGTACAAACGAGGTATATGTAACCAGTATTAGCTGATCGTTGAAACTGCGAAAAGATCATACAGAACGAGACCATGATAAATTGGTATTGCATAGTTAACAAATATTTCAGTATAAACTGAGCTGTGAATGTGCGGAAAAGTCGTACAAGGCGGGACCACGATACACTGGATGTTTAGATTGATGTGTATACACGTGAGTAGACCCACGTGGGCTACACTTGCGACACCTGGCGGATTGTTTTTACATTCCCATAGCAAACAGGAACTATTGCCTTGCTTTGTTTTAGCTACAAACTAAACATTATAGTTACGCAACTGTTTCATTTTCTATCTTCAGTATACAATGTCGATCGCTTTCTAATTACTTTAAAATGCAGTTCCAGTCAATTATAAAGGTAATTAAGTGTTCTCTATTTTTGGAAATGTCACTGCCTCGTTGGCCGAGTGTTTGCAAGTGCGACTGCCGGGCAAGGGGTTGCGGGTTCGATTCCCGGGTCGGACAAAGTAATACATGGTTTTCTAAAAAAAATAAAGTACCACGGGGTCTGGTATTGTGCCCGGTATATGGCAATAGACTCCCTATTACATGGGACTCATAACATAAATAGATAGTGAAAAGTGGGTGTTACATTATACAGTGCTGTAATGTACACCTCTGCCTACCCCTCCGGGTGCAAAAGACGTGATCTTATGTTGCCTATTTATGTTAAAATTATAACTAATTAAAATTGTATCATGTATAGGAATATGCCGCGTAGGATCACCTTGTCGGTGGATTGGCGACTTGATAAAGTAAAGTCCCTGGATGTAGAGGCTTCCAACGGACTGATCTGGAGTCATTGTTAGAGGCTGATGGAAGGCAGTGGATATCTAATTGTCTATGTAGTGATTGATATGATGATGATGATGACCCCTAGATCCATTTAAATGATTACAATTACGATGTTCCTAATTATTATCTAATACAATGATTTGTTTGGTTTTCCAAAAAGAAGCAGTCGTTTGTTGAAAACCTAAGATCAACAAACTGTTGATTGAGTGACAATTTTCTTAGTCATCGGACATTCTTAGTACTGTATTTTGTTCAGTACAAAGTCAGGTATAAATTAATATGTAATCAAATCATAGAAGACTCACTTAAAGTAAAATATATTTATAGGAAAACCCGAAATAAACAACTTTCTTAAACAATTTCCCATAAAACCTTATCTTAACATTATCTACGCATTCTCCCATGATAACATAACACATTATCAAAGTCAATGTTAAACATAACATAACTGGATTTGGAGTATTTTTTATCTAGATTGGCCTATAATTCGCGGTTGAGTG